AAACACAAATTATTAGACATCCATGAACCATACTACAAATACATTCCGCAGACAGTATTGGAAAATAACACGCACAAAATGTACAACAACAGAGCCATAATCAGACCAGACATCACACTCATTGACAAACACGATAAAATCACATACATTACAGACATAGCCATTCCAAACACTCACAATGTACAAAACACATGCACTGAAAAAATTAGCAAGTACAGTAATACCCCGAACTTACGCGATAGGTGGGACCGAGCGGTAACCGCGTAAGTCGGGGTATAATTTCGCATATAAATACATACAAATAATTTTTAATTGGGGCCGGAGACTAAAGAAAACAATAATTTAGAAAAAAATGTTTAATAAAATCTTAGATAATACATATGTATAACAAATTAGGCCTATATTATTTTACAATTTTTCACATTTACTTGNCACTTCTGGGTGCAAGCTCTTGGCACAGACAGATTACTTACATAGACACAATCAAGTAGCAAATATAATACACCAAGAGCTTGCAAACAAACACAAATTATTAGACATCCATGAACCATACTACAAATACATTCCGCAGACAGTATTGGAAAATAACACGCACAAAATGTACAACAACAGAGCCATAATCAGACCAGACATCACACTCATTGACAAACACGATAAAATCACATACATTACAGACATAGCCATTCCAAACACTCACAATGTACAAAACACATGCACTGAAAAAATTAGCAAGTACAGTAATACCCCGAACTTACGCGATAGGTGGGACCGAGCGGTAACCGCGTAAGTCGGGGTATAATTTCGCATATAAATACATACAAATAATTTTTAATTGGGGCCGGAGACTAAAGAAAACAATAATTTAGAAAAAAATGTTTAATAAAATCTTACATAATACATATGTATAACAAATTAGGCCTATATTATTTTACAATTTTTCACATTTACTTGATTATTACGTCATAATTTTAAAGACTGGAGTTATAATATAATTATTTAATTTTTTATCATAATTGACGAGTTAATCAGTTATTAAAATAATAAAAATTAAGATAAAATATTCAAAATACAGTATATACAATATTACAAAACGACAAGCACTTTTATCGTCAAATATAAAATTTATTTTAAATTTTGAAAAAAAAGAAAAATAATCAATCCACTAATTAAATGCTGAGTGTACAGTACGTATTATTGACCAACAATGATACCAACATACTTTATCTAATAATGATCAATTAATTATTGAAAATTCATTATTTTTAAAATTATTGCGATGATCAACATTTCATTCTAGGTTTGATAATGAGTGAAAATTTTAGGAATAATATTAACATTGATGATATTTTGTCACGTCTTTTGTCTTCTGCATATTCTGATGATCCTCAAATAAGAGAAAAGTTCCCACTTGTAGAAGAAGAAATTCAAACGCTATGTTTATTATCTAAACAGATATTTTTGAGTCAACCTATGCTTTTAGAACTTGAAGCTCCCATCAACGTACTTGGCGATATTCACGGACAGTACCAAGACATGTTGCGTTTTTTTGAGCTCGGTGGTCTTCCACCTAAAAATAACTATCTTCTTTTAGGTGATTACGTCGACAGAGGAAAAGAGTCTTTAAAAACGATATGTTTTCTATTTGCTAATAAAATCAAATATCCAGATACATTTTTTCTGTTGAGAGGCAATCATGAATCATCGGGTTTGAATAGAGTATACGGATTTTATAATGAATGCAAACAAAAATTTAATATAAATATATGGAAAGCATTTGTAAGTAGTTTTAATTGTTTGCCTGTTGCTGCTATCGTTGAAGACAAGATATTTTGTTGTCACGGAGGTTTAAGCCCACATCTTGAGTCTATGAATCAAATTCGAAGACTACGAAGACCTACTGATATACCCAATAGTGGATTATTATGTGATTTACTTTGGTCTGATCCGAACAAACGTATTCGAGGATGGGGAAGTAACGAACGAGGAATTTCGGTGACGTTTGGGCCAGATATTGTTCGTAGTTTTCTTCTTAAACATGAATTCGATCTAATCTGTAGAGCTCATGAAGTGGTTGAAGAAGGATACGAATTTTTTGCTGGACGTCAACTTGTGACTATTTTTTCTGCACCAAAATATAGCCATTTCAATAATTCTGCTGCTATGTTATGTGTTAATGAAGAACTGATATGCTCATTCATAACAATATCATAACAACATGGAAAGACAATTTTAGAAAGATTCAATTTCAAAAATGATTTACAGATCATAGAGAAAATTCCAAGATAGTAAATTGAAATATATATCATATTTAAAATATACTAATTACAAATAATATAAAAAAATTAATATATAGGCCTATATATCTTATCATTTAAATAACATTGATAAGAATAGATATTCGATTTTCTGCGACAAATACATTTTAAAAATAAATAAAAACAGGTTTTAAAATAATATGGTAATTTCAGTTTTTTAATTTTATTTAAATTTTTTAAAAAGAAAATTGTGCATAAAATAAAAATTATTAATAGAGAAAGTAAATTAAAAGAAAGAGCAAAAGTTAACTTAAACATGATCTTAAATACTGTATATGAAATTATATTGGGTTGATGCAAAAGTTTCTAGAATTTAATAGACCTCTAGAATACTCGAAGTTGTTCTATAGATGGCATCTAGAAGTTTCTTGTGGGGTTATGTAAATACTATTCTCTGGCAATACCAACTTTTTAAATATGTAAAGTTTGTCAATGCTTTCTAGTGACCAAATTCGCACACTTGCACTTTACACTTATCAATTTGGTATAAGATAGCTGAATCTTATCACCGCATGGTAGAATAATTTGGCAAGAATGTCATCACTAAGTCTACAATCTACGATTAATTCAGTAAATTTAAATGTTAATATTAAAGAAATTGTTTTGGTTTGGTGTAATGTCAACACTGCACAGGGGAGATCTTTTAGGGAGTTTGCCTTCCAGGAGGCACAGGTTAGTTTTGAATGGAAAAACTGGGCCCTATTTGATGAAAACTCGGGAAAATTCCATTTAAATTTTTTTCCTTATATTTTTATACAACAGTTACAATTACTGACTCTGCAATGTAATCAATAATGTTCGATACTATAATTTGAATATTTAAAATCTATCAATAACATACTGTATATTGGACTATATAACTATTCCACGAATAAACATCAAGAACCGAAAATAGTATATTAATGACAGTTCTGCCCTACGAAATTGAGAAAGATGAAAATTTGGATAAATGTTTAAAAATTCAGTTAAAAAGTTAAAAAATTAAGCAAATTTTAAAGCAAATGCTAAAAAATGGCATTTACTTATTTTGTCCTAAAAAATTCAGTTAAAAAGTTAAGCAAATTTTAAAGTCTTCCCATAAGAAATGAGAAACATGTTTAAAAGTCTGTAAAAAAAGTAAATATAAAAAACTCTACAATGTGCGCTTTATTCAGCCCTAAATTACCGCCCTCTTTCATACCGCTCAAATTTTAAATCTATGCGATTGTTTAGTGCATTAATACTCTTTTCAGTCAAATATTTATTAAATCGATCTGGTAGAAAAATCACGATTGTTTTAACGCCATACTGGGTTGATATCGATTTGACTTTATGGATTGGATATTCATAATCAATTTCTTTGTTGAAGTTTTTTGAAATTTACCAATATTGTTTAGTTTATTCACTGTCTCTATTTATTCAATATAATTTTAACAACTGTATTATCTATCAATATGTGAAAATTTACCTTGTGGTGTACGTAAAAATCTATCACGAGTTGTATCAACATAATCCAAGATATGAAAATGCCCGCTTCCATCCTTCCAAATATAATAATTCCTTACTTTCTCACCATAGCAAATTAATACCGACTCAACATTATTAATATCAGTCTCCATTTATATAGGATTATTTATTACAAATTCTTGCTAACAATGAAACAACTATATTTTTATAATTATTTTCAATAAATTCGTTGGAGAACCTTTTCTTTAAAATAACATCACGCCAATCAATTTTATTTTTATGTTTTATAATAAAATCTTCAGATAATTCTTGATATTTAACAACTGTTTTCCAGTCTAATACATTTAATGGATCTAAGTCTTCAAGTAATTGTTCCGATATGGTTTGATATCTTAAAAGTGAATTTAAATTTAATTTTGGAGCATATTTCCTAATAAACTCATTATCTAAATTTTGAAATCGAGATACAGCATCCAAATCCACTTTATTTGCATATTCTGGAATAAATTCCGAAGATAATGTTTGATGTGTAGAGATGAGTTGCCAATTAACCTTATCATCATGTTGTCTTATAAAATTTTCAGAGAGACTTTGGTGTTCTGATATTTTTTCCAGTTCACTCTATCTTTAAATTCATTAATAAAAAATTCAGACAATTTTTGTCTTTGAGATATTGAGTCCCAATTAACTTTATCTTTAAATTCTCTTATGAAACGTTCTGATAACTTTTGAAATATTGAAATCAAATCCCAGTTAACTTCATCTTTAAATTCTCTTATTAGATCTTCTGTTAAATTCTCTCGTTTTGAAAAATTATCCCAATCAATAGCTCTCTTTATTCTAGAGTCCATTTACATAAGAAAAAACTTATGACCTGTAAAAATGTCAGTGAATCAGTTCATAAAAATGCCAGTTAAGCAAGTCATTTATTACTTCAAAAAAGTAAATATAAAAAAAGTCAAACAAACTCAATAATATGTGCTTTATACATATTCCCACAATCTTTCATACCCCTGTATATCAATTTAAAAGATTAAAATTCAGTTTCATCACAGAATAAGTAATGAAATATTCCGTGCTTATTTCAATCGGTACGAATCGTAGGTACGACAAAAATATGAAATGAAGTGGTTCAAATTTTTACAAGATATTATTATTATTTATTGTGAAATTTTGCCGCCCTCACTACGCTACGCCACTGGCTAAAAGAGGCCCTCTTATTGCCCACAGGGCGGAAAAAGCAAAAAAAAAAAAAAGGCGGAGAGTTAGAAAAAAGTCAATGCTAAAAGTGATCTTTCAACCAGGGCCGGCCCTACCATAGGGCGAACGGAGCAGTCGCTCCAGGCGCTAAGTCCTAGGGGGCGCCTCAGTGGTAAATAAAATTAAAGGGTATAAATTAGGGGCAACCAGGGGGGAACCATAATAGGATCTCGCTCCATCCTAAAACTTGTCTCGGGCCGGCACTTCTTTCAACATAAAGAAAACAAGTACAATATGTTTTTAAAGATGGAAATCGATCGTGCAAAAAATGCAACTCAATTTTGTTATCGAAAAAGTCTATTATTTAATATTACTGTTCAAAATATTTATCGTTATTTGAAATTGTCCGAAACAAAAATTACGTTTAAAATACGTTTCACTATACTCTCGACTGCAAAAAGTTTACACGCAAGACTCCGATGACGAGATTACGCCAATGGCCATTTTAGTTTTCTTTGTTAAATACGATTTCTTCCGCGTAGAAAAATAGTTTACTCGTTAAATGTTATTTTAATAAAATACTCCCTGTACACGAGCTATTTCTTAATCGATTATTATTAAAACGAGCATATTTTAATAAACGAAACGGTAATAATAATATAATCATATTAAGTTTAAATTCGGCGCTAGTGGATGAGTAACAAATTAATCAACCTTCTTTCGAGGTGTTGTTCGGGTGCCGTTCTCTGCCTTCAAGATGGCGGTTGCTCAGACGAATAATTCAATCACTCCTCCTGTACAAAAAGCGCAGTACGGAAAAGTTATTTTATCTTTAGAAAATTGTATTTTACCACCCGAAAAGATATCTCCCACTCCATCTTTGATTGATGGTTTGGATCAAGAGACAGAAATGGATCTGAGGATTCTCGGTTGTGAATTGATTCAGACTTCCGGTATTTTATTGCGTTTACCTCAAGTGAGTATTTCGCTTTAAATTTCGAATTATAAAAGGGAAATTTGATTATTTGTTGTTAAAATTGTCGTATGACGTCGCATTTTGCCGTGTTTCTTAGATATAAACCGAGTTTATAATAGTTACCATTCATCGGCTGTTGTGTCTTAGGCCTATTTAGGCTTATTTCAAAGTCGTTTCGGTTAATGAAATTTCGTGAAATCTTAAGACAAAATTAATGTTTGTAAGAGAATTTTGGGCCAATTTTTGATCTTTTCTAAACTAATCGCGGCATAAATTCTTGTTTATAATAATATATATATTTATGTGTGTTATTGCATTGCCATCTATACTTTATAATTTGAAGTGTGTGCTGTGCTGGAGGAGTTAACTGCATATGAGAAATTAAAACAATAAAATGAGCAGTTAACTGGATTTATTGTAAGTTTACAATAGAAACGAATAGTAAATAACATGGATTCAAGATTCAGCCTTGAAGAAGAAAGATTATCAATTGAGATAATATTGTTCTGTGGCAATTCAACAGATGAAAGAGAAGGTTCCATAATTTTTCAAAAGCATATGGGGGGGAATGCTTTGAGGCAATGTTCTTAAATTTAAACATTAGCTGCGTTCAGCATACTCAACAGTTGTAACTGAGTATATTGGTAGCTGTTACGTAGCAACGTGGATCTGCTGAACAAGTGATGTGTTGGAAGAAAAAGCCTTGTTGGTCAGTTTCAAGTAGTGATAGGTAGCGTAAATGAAAGACGCTACCAAATGTGTTCCAAAAGAGCACTACTGTAGAGGGCATTTGGCAGAAAAATACTCAACAGAACTGTTGAGTCTACTGAATGCAGCCAGCCATTTACTAGCTGATCTGAGCATCCTTTTCCTCCTCTTTGTCAGTTAGATCAAAACACATTAAAAAAATTAACAGTTAAAGATTAAGAATTGAACTTAAGAGCGTAATAGGAGAGGATGCGACTTCACAACAAGTCTTTGTAGTTCATCACTAGATGTTTCGCTTTGACCGGAGTGTCCAAATTTGGGAATAGCTTGATTTATCTGAGTGTGCGACACAGTGGGGCAATGCTCTCTTCCTCGAAGAATACCAAATCTTTACGGTGAATATTAGGCCTGACATTCATTCACTTCTTGGTACAATTGCACTTCTGGGGCCTTAGTCTCGAGTTTTTCGTGCTACAACTCCCAACGTGTTGAAGGTATCACGTGGTACCCTCTCACACACTGACGTCAAATTGGTAGTCTCGAGTTCTAACTCACATGCTTTCCCATCTCACCATGCGAGTTGCTACTCACATTGAGTCGAGCATGTGAGATCGCTACATGAAAGTAAAAATGGCTGATGGATACGCAATTCTTATCGCTATCGAAGAGTTAGAAAGAGCCGAAAGACGTTGTTTGAGAAGGCAACGAATTTTTCGACCACGAGTAGATGACATTTCTTTTCGTGTCAAGTCAATACTAATAAAAAAAACTTTAATTCATAATTGATAAATGTATACAGCAAATTTTTCTAAAAATAAAAAGAAGTATCTAATTCATCGAAAAAGAGTATTAAAATGATAGTAAATTATATGTATAGATTATTAAAAGCATAGACACTACATTAAGATTATTTATTAATCAGAAGTGTTAAGTTCTGATTAATAAATAATCTTAATAGACAAAACAATTTAAGAAATAGATCAAGGAAGAAAACTATATGAAGAAAGGATTAAGTTTAAATACATTTTCCATTACATAACGGATTTTTTAGGTTCAACACACGCAATTAATTTTTCAAGTAATTCTCTCCACAAAGCGAATTGTCTTTTTCTTGTAAATTCGTTGTCGAATTTTCCGCTGTTCATTTTCTTATTATTTTCTATATATGTTACTAATATTTCTTTTTGTTCTTCGCTTATTTTTTAAAATAAAACATTCGAGGTTTTCATTTTGTTTCTGCGTACTATATTGCCACAAGACAACTTTTAACTGTAGCACGTGTAAACTAATTTGCGTTGATTTGTTTACAACTTGTTACAGTTAAGTTGATTGGTCGAATCATTATAGTCGCAAACCCAGATGCATTGTAAATAATCCCATCATGCTTATCGACAAATGTAAACAAGTGAATATGACCTACTTCCGCTCGCCTTTCGAGTTCACTCGAAAGGTCTAACTCGAGACTACCGATTATGTGAGTCGTAGTAACATGAGTGAGTTCGATGACGTCAGTTCGAGTACAACACGAAAAACTCGAGACTAAGGGCCCTGAATGAGATAGATCTTATCAGAGGTGTAGGCTATACTTGTAGGAACAATAAAGTCAAAGGAACCAATAGTCTGTGTGAATCTTTGTGAGATATTACTATATTACTTTTTTTTGAAATTAGTGTATTTTGAATTTTGGAGTCCCTCAAAACTGGGTTAAATTTAAAAGTAAAAATTTTTGGAATTATTTCTCAAAACTATGCTAAAAATGGCTTGTTTTTGAACTTGCTAGAGACAGCTAAAAGTTTGGAAAAAAAGAGAATTGCTATGTTTCAAAACTACTTGTAGAGTGTGATAGTCATGCCATGCTCTCTGCTAAGCCTGTTGTGTGTTTATTAACTCAGCAGGCTGGTCACATATTCTAACAATAATTAGTAGTAAAGAATAAAGACAGGCCCAATTATTACCACTGTCAACTGTTTAAACAATGTTGATTGACATGGTGTTTGGCCATTTCTATCCTATCAAATACATTTTGACAATGTGTTGCACACTTCTATTAAACTATCTCTACCACTTACATTCTAACTGCTGATGTAAAAGACCAAATAAAATAGAATGTACACTTATACTCAATAGTGTCTACTTTTGTATCTTCCACAACATCCTCTGGCTATCTGGTGATGTTTGGCTGTCAACAGCAAATGGAAACTTTCATGTGCAGTTGTGATATAATAGGGCAATTGTCAGTCATTGAGCAGAGACAATGCTTGTGCAGATTGGTGACTGGTTAACATCAAACAGTTGTACAAATAGGGGAGACACTGTGTCAGTCGTGAGGTTCCATGCACCCATCTGCAAATCGCAGTGTCATTCACAATAAGCAGTTCTATAGTGGCGAGAGGTTGAAACTGTACTTACCAACTGAATTTTTGAGTCAAATTTTTGAAATTTTTCAAATTTGAGTCAGTTTTGATCAACCATGGAGGTTGATCAAAACTTAAAAAAATGCTTTACTACTACAGTAGAGCATCGATCGACCGAAAGCGTTCCAATCGGACTGTGTCGTGCTGAATCAAATGTTTTTGATACTAGATTTACTTCTAAAGTGTAATTGTTTTTTTGTTTTTATATTTTTCGATATATTTATTTTGTTTGTACAAAATAAACAAATAATTTTTAACAATACAATAGCCTCAATTATTATAATAATAATTTTTGTTAGGCTTAACATTGACGAAAATTCAATGCGAAGCAACATGCAATGGAAAAAAAATTAAACATGGGATATATTAATATACTATTATTGGGATATACTAATATACTATATTAATATATTTTTCGTACGTAATCAGTTATCTGAAATATCGATTTTCCAAACAACCTGAGTTCTCAATAGATTTGGATAATTGACACTCTACTGTATTTATATGCCAATACATCATGTGTGACAATAGGGATTTAACATAGTACTTTGGGTGCCTCTTGTTAAGTAGCCCCAATTGTATTTTCATGTATGGGTAAAGGTTTCATTGATGTGAAAAGGGAAAAAACAGATATTTCAGTGAAAGTATAATAAGGATGTTGTGCCTCCAGTATGACAGATGTAAGATGAACATCATCTTGACATGTAAACCTTCACCACGAAACTAGATGTTTTGCTGGTGGGAGATAAAAACTTCTGCATCTTCTAGGACAAAATAGCAGACACTTCTACTTAATAGACATTTTTACAATCTCCAGACCCTTCAAAAAGGACTTCTATTATATTTATTTCTAAATAGTAGACATTCTAAATAACGGACGCCATTGTCCATAACCAATCTTACAAAAACCTAAAGTTCCACTTTCAATATTCTGAAAGAATTAATTACGTACGAAATATTTTAAAATGAAAACAAAGAATCGCTTCTAATACTCTTTTAGATGAAAAATTTTGACCATAGGCATCAAATAAAGACTGGCTTAAAATAGGAATAAGGGAGGAGGGCAGATTATAAGAAGTTGAACGATATTCTTTATCTGTTAGATCACTATTTAACATTATACATATTATGGGATGTTTGATATACTTATATATATACTGCGGGTAAAACATTAGTTAGCTGAGTGCCATTGTGGAGATGTGGACATAGTTGTTCCCAGCCAGTGCCGTGATTAACCATGTAAGGTTATATCTAAATTTAAATATATCTAGAAGTGAGGGCTTGCTTGGGTAGTGCAACTGGTAAGCGCACTGCATGGCAAGCAGAGGTTGCATGTTCAAATCTTGCCCCAGGCCAGTTCTTTTTTTTTTTTTCAGATGATTTTAAATTATTTACTAAATTAGGTAGAAGTTTACCTAGGTAGTCCCAGTGGTGGCACTTCCAGTTGCCATCTTGCTTATGAACATACACCCACAAACAAGATGGTAACCATCAAATTTACAAATACAAGCTTAATTATAGTTCAATTAATAAATGAAAATGTATTTAAAATGTAAATGTTCAACTCACGTTTTCCAGATTTTCATTTACCTTTTTTCTTCTTTTTGGCCATAGAACATGATTCATCTATTCTTTTAGAACCTTCACCCTTTCTCTTAATTGATGATTTATCTGTATTTCTACTTGACGTTTCCATTTTCTTATTTTTTGGTTCTTCATTCTTCTTTGTGTTTGATTCTGGGCAGTAGGTACACTTTCTGGCTCTTTCCAAATTGGGGTGTTACAAGCTCCAGAATACAGTGGAACCCCTTTTAACGAACATCCTGGTTAACGAACTTTTATTTTGCAAAAATTTTGTCTTGGATAACGAACTTAACG